CTGCTAGATTTATGTCAGGTCCAGTTTGAAACCAGAACACACTTATGAGTTCACAGTTCAGAAGCTGGAGAGGGACATTCCTGAAACAGGGATTGGGGGCTTTCCTTTCCAAGAGAATAAAAAAAAAAACAGATCTGTATATTCATGAAAGGGACTCTGGGACCACCTTTGGATTAAAAGCTAAGAACTTTGGCTTTATGTTCCTATTAAAAGCTTTCTGAGGGAAAAAAATAATAGCAACAGGAGGTCATTTTCATGTTGACAACCTCATCTTCAGGGTCCTGACAGAGCAGAAGTCCCAGGAGAAGCCTGCAGTGTTCTCTGAAGTACACCTCTTGCTCTCTCAGCACTGTGTCTCCACGTGAAGGCAATGGGGCCAAGCACTTGGTATGTAAAAAATCTCTACACACATCTTACCAGCGCCAAGCAAAGTTGCCTTTATCAAATCTGTCTTCTTGAGCAACTGGGCGGGGGGGGGGGGAACCAGCAGAAAGCTGCAAAGAGGAGCAAGATTTTCAAAACATACCTGCAGAAAGGCTAAAGGATTTGATGGATTCCGCCTGAAGAAGTGAGACTTAAGAACTGTCCTCAAACAGATGAAGGGCTTTACCCAGGGCCAGTGAGGGCCTGGAGACCATGTGTTCTCGGTCTGCACCGAGTGGTGACGGAGAAGCCAGGCTCCAACAAGAGCCACTGTTAACATTAACAGTGCTCAGGACACAAACCAGTGCTCCAGGGATGCTCCGGAGGGTATGGCTGGGAATTACTGTACTTGGGGGGAGGGTAAGGAAGAAAGATGAAGAAACAAAATGTACAGCTGGGTTGCAACTCTGCAGGAAGTAATCTCTCAGACCTGACACATATCCATGTGTTCTGTAGGTAGCAAGTTCTTCCCTTGCTCTGAGAACTCCACAGCCAGTGTCAGAAACCTCCCTCCTACCATTTTCCTGAAGAGCCTGCTGGCTGCTCTCAAGGTGACTCTGATGAACTCTATTCTGCTCTTGGGCCTCTAGGCTCTGAATATTTACTGAGCGGCTTTGCATGCGTGAACACTGTCCCAAGGCCTTGTTCTTACAGTGACCCCTCTCTAGTCCCTTTGACATGGTTACTTCAGTCTGAATCAGGCTTACGAGGGACAAGAATGGACTCTTCCAAACTAAGTCCAAATGAAATTTCATAGCGTTGCTCCATCTTCTGGGTGAGGAATCTGCAGCTAAGCTGGCAAGCATAAGATCCAGGAGCTCAGCCCAGGAGGATGCCTAGGGCCGAGCTCTTTCCCAGAGAAGACACCAGGCACTTCCCATCACGTGACTGCAGAAAGGAGGGGAGGTGGCCACTGCTTCCTGCTTCTCAGCTTCCACTTCCACGAGGCACAGTCCCACCAGGACCAGATTCAACTGTACTTTATGTTGTGGATTCTGTATAGTATTACAGACATGGGTCTGTGAGTCTGACGTCCAAATGGATAACTTCTTGCGATTTCTACTGTAGTTTAGACTCTGAGAACTAACTGAGATGATGCAAAGAGGGAGAAGACCGCACAGGTTGGGCCCTAACAAGCTCTCATTCAGACCGCCTGTAAAAAAATGGTGTATTGCTGTATCATTATAGCGAATGTGAAGTAAATGACACAAATGACAGTAAAGGCAGAAATGATAACTTATTACAATTTGAGAATTAAGTTGCTATTTATACTTCTGTTATCCGAGCTTTGACCTAATTACCCCGCGAGCCAATGGTGACTGGCTTACCAGGGAGCCAAATGGTTGTTATTCATTCTGAAAGCCAAATGAAGGAATGCCTCAGACTGGGGCTCACACAAAAATATCTGTGACAACGCATGCCAGAAAAGGTCCATTTCTCTCAGCTCCTTCCATCACCTGCAATATTACCCCATTCCTTGGCCATGAGATCCAACAGATGCCTATTCAAATCACACTGAAGAACAGCATCATGGGACTGGAAGTTATCTTCAACGTCATCAGTCCTGACCCTTTACATCTGGGGTCAGGTTCCCTGGTTTAGTCAAAGCACAGACTAGTCAAATCCCATTATGGTGCCCTGCACAGGATGTCCAAGTGGTGGAATTTCATTAGACAGTCAGAAATCACATTATATCCTGCTCCAGCGGATGTAAGCACATAAACTTCCTAACAGCATGCTGGCAAGAAAAAAGAGCCCTTCAGAACACCCTAGAAGAAGGGGGTGTGTTCACCCTGTCACCCCCATATCTTTCTATGCACTCTTCGGAATTTGCATGTGTTGTAAAGTGGGTGCGATTTCCATGAATATGTTTTTCCCATTGGTGGGACTGGAGCATGGAGACAGGGTCCCTGTAATGATGCTGGTGGCAGTATTACCAGAGCTGTGGAAGCCTCAGTCAGGGCTCATTCCAACTTTCCTCTCGCCCATTCATGGAATGCAGTTAGCATTTACACCCAAGAAAGGGTGTGGACTGAGATCCCTGAGTGGAGTCTACAGGCTGTAGTGCAATAGGGTAGCTTGACAACTGAGCTTCTCTGGGCTGTCTCTCAGGCAGCGGTCTAGCTGGTTTATTCTTGTCTGAGTCTCTCTTTCACTCTCATAGTCCTGATGCAACCAAAACAACCTCCAGACAGAGGGTCCTCTCAGTCCAGGGCACAGGACTGGCAGAGCAGATGGACATGGTACAAATGGAGCATGACACTGGATTACAGAGCCACCCACCACTCCCAGAAGGGAATCCTAAGTCCAGGAACAGCACAGGCAAGCTAGAGTCCTCTTTTCCTTTAGAGCAACACATGCTAGCACTTTACAGATCCTGGCATGTGTTAGCGTTTCTAAAGTAAACTCTATTTTCTTTAGATGAAAGAGATTTTTAAAAAAGACTCAAAGTTTAGCCCAATGAAAATTGCTTTGGTTATTCACATGCAATAAAGCGTAGAAGCAAGAAGAAAAAAATCAATTGGTTCTGATTTATTTATTCATTCATTGTCCATCTCCTTTCTCTCTAACGTAAAAAAAAATGCTGTTTATAATTTTGCAAGTCATTAATCTTTTTGAGGAGAAAGAAAATAATTCAAGCCTGCCATTGGTTTGCCAGTCATCTTGGCACAGGAAATACATGTTTAATTAAGGTTATGGAAAGAACAGGAAAAAAGAAATTGATTTTTGTTTATCAAACATTTTCCAACATCTACAATCAGGATGCTATTGTAAACTCTCAAGTCTGATAAGCTGGGCTCTCATACTACGATAAAACATGTTTAAGGCAACTGCAAGCCTTCAATCTTTTGTTTGCTTTATTATGGTTTTTTTTTTTTTTTTATTTCAGGCTGACCCTAATCTCATGTGCTCAAGGCACTGTCCTGCCTCAGCCTCCAGAGCAGGTGAGACCTTGGGCGTTTACCACCTGTGCCGGGATAGACTGCCTTTTCTTAACATGGCTGGTCTATTTTACTTTATTTTTTTTGTAGGCATTAAATATTTCATACTATATATTGTTAAATCCTCAAGTCTCTAACAGCATATTCTATTTTTGGCTGTTCAGTGCTGACAACAGAGAGGGGAAGTTGGGTTTGCCAAACATAACTGCAGGAAAGAGCAGAATATGTAAGAAACCAATTTTGAAAGGATGCTTACTTAAAGGTTTTAACCTACTCCAAATCATCAAAATATATTTCAAAAGGACCCAACTCTAGTGGGGTCCTCATATGTACACGACTGTTGAGTTATTCTGACACCTGTAGAGAGTGAATATGAATAAAGTTATCAGGTACCACTAGCACTTATGTCATTTGCTTAGAGCAGAGTTCTCAACCCTCAGAATGTTGTGACCCTTTAATACAGTTCCTCATGTTATGGTGACCCCAACTATAAAACTACTTCATTGCTACTTCATAATTGTAATTTTGCTACTGTTATGAATCATAAAGCAAACATCTGATGTGCAGGATGTCTGATATAAAGACTCAACCCATAGGCTGAGACCCACTGGCTTAGAGCCTTTGACCTTATTTATATGTTTCCTTCCAAGAGAGCCTTTATCTAGTGTGTGAGTGTGTGTGTGTGTGTGTGTGTGTGTGTGTGTGTGTGTGTGTGACTCTGTGCTTATAACCTGGTGTGAGTCTGTGAAGGGGCCAAGTTTTCCAGGCAGGGGAGCTGAGGGACAGGACTCTCCACGTCTCACTTGGGATCACAGACCCCAAACACTATTTCTTTCCCTCAGCTCTAAGGAGAAGCAGCTACTCTCTCCCAATCTCTCTTCCATGCCACTAACACCAACTGTATGCCTCCCCGCCCACAGAGAGAGAGGAGCGACGGGGCCAGTAAACACACTTCAGTCTCCAGCCTGTCATAACTGCCTTGCACCTGCCTGGACAAGGCTGCATTTTTTTGCCTTTGCTTCCACCCTGATAGTCTGGTCTTTGCCACACTTACACTTCTGCACTTGAAACACAGTAAGTGAGCAAAGAAGAAAGAAATAGAAAGAAGCGGATATAAAAGAAGAAAGGAGAAACATATAAATACCAGAGAAAAAATCTATACGTTGTCTCATGCCACCAGCTTCATTTGCCTTTAAATACCTAGTAGAAGAACCTGAAAATGATCCAAAAAAAGTAAGATTTTAAAGTCTGACACCTTGTTTGTTTCCTTTCTGAATACCGTTAGGCCAACTGGTTTCACTTCCTTCTCAGCATGCACAGTGCAAACCCCACAGACGCCTCCTGGGAGAGGGTGCTGCGCCGCTCCACTGGCACCTGCCCTGCACATTGCATTTGGAGATGCCTGTGTTAACTGGCCTCTCAGCAAGTCCGAAATATCCTTTTGCTCCACCAGTAACAGATGGCTGGCTCCTTTCTAATACACAGGCATAACATCTTCCAAATAACCTTTCTCCTGCTAAAGCATGCCAGCTAATGAAATGTCACCATGATAATGTCCTGGCTGAGATGAGGAGGGAAAGACCCAGGAGACAAAGGCTCACCAGAATGAGACAAGAGCAAGAGGTCACAGCCTACCTTCCCCCGAGGACCCTGAGAGGTCGATGACCACGTACACTTTTCCTTCTGGCTCCAGATCAATCTGCAAGTGAGAGAATGACAGAGGCTGTTAGTGCAGGCGTGGGCAGTTTGAGAGATCCATTCCTACCCTGAGCTGCTGTAACTCAGAGTCATGACACTCATCAGACCTGTGTCAAGTGCTAGGTGCGTTAGGAATGAAAGGGCATTGATGTTCACTGAACATCTACTGTGCTGTAGGTCTGAAGCATACCCAAAAGGGAGCATCAACCAATGTTTTTACCCTGGGAGGAATCTTCCTTCACAATGGATACTTGAAGGATTTCTAAAGACATGAATATCTAAAGATTGATTGTTGTGAATAGCAGAGAGGATGCCATAACTGGTGTCTAAAGGGTAGAGACCCCAGGGAAGCCACAGGGTCTAACACCATCCCTACAGCCAAGAATCATCCAGCCTTCCAGTCAACTGCCTGAAGTTTGGAAGGTTTTGTGTTAGCCTTTACAGGTAAGTGTGGTCCAAGTTTCAGGCTAAGAGCTGGTACTGAGATCTGAAGCCATGATTATCCAAAGAAACTTGTGTTCTTTATGTGTCTGAGAAAGCAACAGATGATTTAAAATGTTATTCCTGTCCTCAGTGATCAAAATCTCATTGGGAAGTTAAGGAGCAGAACAGTCTGGAACCCAGCTAGTAAGAGGGAGAAAATAAACCAGGAGCAACAGCACAAAAGGATCCCAAAAGCCACAGAGCAAAGCAGCGTGACAAGAAGCAACACAGATCAAGGCTTAGAGAGTACCCCTTCCCCTGACCCCCACACTCAGCTCATGGGCATTTCGTGACCCACAGATTCCAGTGGGATTATAAAGAGAGGCAGTACTTCCAACTGATCACCAGTGTCCTCCTCCTTCCGTCCTCAATTTGCTTCTTCCCCTACTCAAACTACAGCTAACCTGCTGTACAGAACCAGGTTGATGAAATCGGGAAGTGGGGTGGAAAGTGAAGGCCTGGGTCTCTTTTTTAAGTTCAGACATCTTTGAAAGGTAGGAGAGCTTCTGCAGAACTTGTGATTTCCTCAGGAAGGCTTGCATCTACAAGTCCACACCATGAAATTCTCCCAACCTGCCATCAGCCATCTGTATACATAGAGTTCCAAGGGGCTCAGCAGTGCCAGGCTCTCTCCCCAACAAGCTGTGCATTTCTTAAGGACAGGAACCACCATCCCTTCCTGTAATTTTTCCACTGTCCCCAGCAGAAGGCAAGTGTACACTTAGCAACTCATTCTTTGGAAGAAGCAGGTGGTAGACATCTCCTGCTCCTTCAAGGTTGAGGGCAAAATGCCTCCTCTCCGAGGCATTGCTAGACACTCCCGCCAGGATGCCTTCCTCCCTCCTCTGGGTTCCCACAGCCCACTGCTCTAATCACAGTTCCTATTAAACTGTAGCACAGTGTCCACAGAGTTATTTCCCTGGCTAGACAGAAAGTGCGAGATCCACATTCCCAACCTCTGCTCACTTCCCTCGGTCAGAAGACATCCAATGCCCAGTTGTGGAGGTAAGAAAAAGGTCTAGATTTGAGGCTTATAAAGTTTATTCTGAGTCCTTCACCCCCTCAAGCCTCTATCCCCAGGGAGGAAAACAGACTTGTGATTTGTACTGAAATGGCATTTCATATGACAACCGGAGAGGGAAGTTGAGGTGGCTGTACAGTGAACATGTAATTAGAGCACCTGTCTGAGGTGAAGAAACTCAAACTGAACCGATATTCCCTCTAAGCCATGCTGTCCCCATCCCAGGCCACTCTGGAGCCCGGTGCATGGCTGGACTTAGCCCCTCATGGCTGACAGTGTTTGCTGTCAGCTTCAAATTTTCATTTGTATCAAGGGATCCCCTATGGATGAAGCAAGTGGTGTAAGTTCAGGCACTGTCTGGCCAGGGAGTGAAGGAGAGCAGTGAGCAGATTTGGGCCGTCCTCAGGGACTCAACAAGATCCACTCACTTACGTTTGGGATCCAGATGAGAACCAAATACCCCCACCTGGGATCCCACAAGGAGACTTCTCTTGTCATTCCCTAAAGAGTTCATGATTTTAAATGTGGATAAAGCCATGTTCCTCAGAGCTCTCAAATACTAGTTCCACCATGCCATAAACACATCGTAGCCCCAGCAAGGAATTACAGAAAGCAAACCAGCCATTGGCTCTGCTGAGCAGCGCTAAACCAGAATTCTTTCTCTGCCAAAGTTCAAAATGATTAGGAGCCCTTTTGCCCCTGAGCATGGAATTCAAATAATGTATGCCTTTTGGAGATTAGATCATCTCTGTTAACCCCAAACAAAATGAAACACTTTTTCATATCCTCTAACTTAGAGATTTCCCATGGCTGCAGACTGTGTTGGTAAAGCACAATGCTATCTGTGAGAGGGAGGGAGGAGAACAGCGGAGGAGTGAGATGGGGAGCAAGGCTGATCCAAGGCGGGCACCGAGCCTATCTCTGCAGAGGGGGAGAGAGGACTCGGAGCAGGGAGGACAGGTCATTGATGGTAAAACGTATTAGGATATTAACATTCAAGATAGCAATCAGAAGCCATTTTAGCACCCATGGCTCCCTCAATGCTGGCGAACTGCAAATCCCAACAGAAAAATAGAAATTAAGCCATTAGACATGCCAAAAGCAACAAAGAGCTTCGCAGGCTGAGCAGATGGCTGCAGAGCACCGGCCAAGCCCCAGTCAGCCAAGTGCGGAAGACTTTCCATCAGCATGGCAGGGCTTCAGTGCCAGGGACTGGAGAGGTGGCCAGGTACAGAGGGTGGCAGAGAGTGGTTTGACTTCACAGCCAAATGCATTCATCCTAAGTTCTGCCCACAGATGCCTGGCCTAGATAATGAAGCAATGTGGGTTCCCAGACCTGAACAACTCTGCAATCTATTGGTGGGCATCAGGCAGCTGGGACAACTTAAGAACAGACCCCATAACTCCCCGCAGCCCTTCCCAGACAATGCTGAGTCCCTCCTGGAGTGAGGGCTCGCTCTACTTGCTCCAGATGTCGCCCTATCCATAGCCTCTGTGTAGGCTTCTTACATCTCCTCGTCTCCTTGGCAGACTTCTTAGCTACTTTCCTTTCTCTTAGACCATGATCCTCCTTCAAGCTAAATCCCCATTGGCTTCCCCTCCAGTCAGGGCCAAAAGCCAAGGAAACAACGGGGGAGATGACCACAGCCCTTGGCTTCATACCAGGACCAAATCCCAGCCTTGTCTTTTACCCGCTGAGTGACCTCAGACAATTATTTCCTCTCCATAAGCCTTGGCTTCATCTGTGAAATGGGTTGTCATGGAAATTCTGTGAGACGGAAATGCAAAGCACTTGGCACTCAGAAAATACTCAATGTGTGGAAAAGGGAGAGAGTGACTAGCTAGCTGGTCTGAAGCAGTAGGGCCTGCAAGAGGAGAAGGGGCTTGCTGCTAAGTCTGCCCATCTAAGTTTTGTTCCTAGATGGTAGAAAGAACCAACTCTCACAAGTTGTCTTCTGACCTCTCTCTTTGTTAATGTCATGGTACACATGAGCACAATATATACATATATATCACACACACATACACACACTCATAAACACACACACACACACACACATTCACAAATGTCTTCAAGTCCCACCTTTATAACCCAAAGTTCTTTCTACTCTAACAATCCCTCCACCTAAACAAATAGAAGACACTTTGTGTCCCAAACTGATATTCCTATAGGTCATTACAGAATTTAATGGAACTGTGGCTAAAAAGGGTAAGTCTTGACTAAAGAGGGTAAGTCTCCTCCCAGCCTGGGGAGGAGGAGTTCCCAGTCTGGAATAAACCCAGGGGCAGGCAAGGCTATCTGCTAGGCATAAGAAGGACCACAGTACCACAAGAGACAGAAAGAGAAGAGATTACAGGTTTCTTGGGTGTCTGATTTGCTTTAGACCCTGAGCAGGGTTCCTCACATGCCTCAGCCTATTGAAACTCTTGTGATGCCAATGATAGTCTCTGTTTCCTTACAGGAAGTGGAGGCTCAGCGAGCTTTCTGCAGTGGTGCCCCTTACCTTATCACACAAGGAACTGATCCTGTTTGAACTCCAAGGTCAGACTCATGTCCCTTGCTACACCTAGCCTACAGAAGCATCTCGGATAGCTTGTCTGGGTGTCCTCAGCCCCATCTCCAGTGTCCTCATTTTCTTCTGCAGTGGCCACTGGCTTCCCAGGCCCAATCTTTCTAAGACAGAGAGATGTCTTGCACATCCGCAGCTCCACACTGAGCTAATTAGGAACGTGGTGTGAAGACACTATTCATTCCAATGAAGGCCAATGCCACAGGGACAGAACAAATGGCTCAGAAACTTCCTCAGCAGTGGTGTTGCAAAAGCCAAGACTCTTCATGGACTTCTGGGTAGTGCCTGACCATTTTCAAAGGCCTTTGTGTGCCTGATTTTATCTATCCCTCATAATTTATACAGGTACCATGTTGATCTATGAGTAAGATCCAGATATGGTAGCACACATCGGTAATCTCAATACTCCCAACGTAGAGAAGGGAATGTTACGAGTTGAGGCAACCCTGGGGTACATAACAAATCTCTGTCTCAACCAAGCTCATCCATAGACTGTTTGCTATGAAGCACTGGTCCTGGATTTAAACTCTAGCGCTGCAAACGAATCAATCATTTTAAAGCCGAGGCTGATGCTGCTAAGTAGCCAGTGTGCCCACTGTGGCCAATGAAGGTACGCCTGCTTCACGATGCCAGGACTATCATGGAGCTCTTGTATCTAGGAATAGATCCCCTATGGCTGAGTACTATAGAGTACTCAAAGAGAGTTTGTACACAATCCCTCCGCAGCTCCTAACCCTCAGGCCAGCGACCCCTCCAGCCCCCCACACCCATCCATCAGGAAACTTTGAGCCAAGTTGTTTTGAATCATCAGGACTCACTGATTAAATGTTAACAGCCTCCTCACCTACAATGGTCACGTCAGACTTCAATGACTCACTCGAATCTATGCCTGTCTCTGGAGGGCCAAGGGCTTCAAGAGCCAGGTAG